AAGCACACAGCACCTGGCCCCCCAGCTCCAGAGGGCGTCCCATGCCAGCGCCTTAAACTCAGAGTGGGCTGGTTGCCTGAAAGCTGACGGGCCCTTCTTGACCTCCCGGGGCCACAAGGAGGCGGGGGGCAGCACCGTATTCTCGGTACCCTGCCAGCCTTCCAGAGCAGGTCAGTCTCATCTGGCTTTCCCCTGTTTCTAACTGGACTTCCCACCCAGAGAGCAAACAGAGCCAGGCTCCCGGGGTGCCGGCACAGTGCATCCGAGGGAGGGGCAGGTGCCGGGAACGCGGTCCCATCTGAGCGCAGGTGACCCTCCACCGCTCTGACCACATAAAGGAATAAAACTTCCTTTTAAAGGCAACTTCGGGCTGTGGCTGTTCGTGGGAAGTTAAAAGCCTTGCTCCCCAGCCCCTGCCACTCCCCTTGTGCACCAACCCGTGCGTGTGTGCTTGCTGAGGGCTCGCCCGCAGGGCCGTGCAGGTGGCCCTGGACGGGCGTCGGAGGCCACGGCAGGGCTGGGCTCATGAGTCCTCTGCTGGCTCCGTCCCGGTGGGCCCGGGTGGCCGGCTGGGCTGGTTTTGGTGGGCAGTTTGGACTGTGCCTCCCAGTAGGCCTGGTGGGATGTTTGCTCAGAGGGAGCAGTGTCCCCAAAGGCCTGAAGTGCCGGGCTGGGAAACAGGGGGCAAGAGGGTGGACTGGGGGTGTCATTCCCACGGTTGGAGCGCGGAGGAGACAGGCCCTGAGCCCCCAGGGGTTGCATGTCACAAACTCAGACATTGAGCGGGTGCCTCCTGGGGACTCGCTGGCCTGGCAGAGCCCCCGCCCCGCCCCTGCCCCACCCTTCACAGTCTTTGGTTCTGTAAAGGAAACTAGCATCTGGGACCACCAGGCCCCAGGTGAGTCTGCGACCTGCCCCGTGGGGTTCCGCCCCCTCCCGCCGCCTTAGCCTTTCTAGGGGGGAGGCCACCGAGACCTGCCGCATGCGCTGTGCTACTGTCGTCCTCACCATCTTGGCTTCTGAGTCATTCCAGGCACACTTTACGAACCAGGAAGGAGGATGGGGGCGTGATGGCCCCTCCCTCGTCACTGAGGGTCACTGGGCAGTTTCCGAAGGGAGCAGCCCCCCAGCCTCGGCCGAGGCACAGTCCAGCGGCCGGCTCCTGGAACTGCAGAACGGCAGGCTTTCCAGCATGGGACACTATTTCCCATTGGACTCGTATAGGAGATTCTAATATAAAAAGAAACTCGTCCAAGAGTGCTGCCTGGGAGCCCCACCCATGGCACCCCTCGGGCACCCAGAGACCCAGTTTGAAATCCGTGGTCCAGTGCACACGGGGAAATTGAGGCACAGGGAAGGGCGGGTTTCCCCGAGTCAGGCCAGGGCCCAGAGCGGCACCCAAGTCTCTCCTCCGGGAGAGTTGGCCACCACATCAGACCACACACATCACTGAGGGCTGCAGAACACTTTGGACTGTAATTCCCAAACTCCAAACCGGGCGCCGCCCACAAACACGGCTCTGTCTGGGGACAGCAGGCCGGGCTCATTCACCCCAAACCCCCCCGAGGGAGGGGCTTGAGCCTGGAAGCAGCTGTCTCCGCCAGTGGGATTGCCAGATGCTGCAGCCTCCTGGGGCAACAGCTCCTCAGCTGTGAGGGCAGCAGCGGGGACGGGGAGGGCCTCTGCAGGCCTGAGACATGGGGAAGGCTCCCGACTCGCTCCCTGGACTGTGGAAAAGTACACTGATGTACCAGGGGGAGCGGAGCCGGGGGAGGTGCCTGCGGAGGAGGGGCATGCTGGTGCCAGGCCTCTCCAACCCGCTGGCCAGTCGACAGCTCCTTGTTGAGGCTCCAGGAACTGGTGGGTCACCTTGCTGCTCACTGACCCAAGAAGGAGCTGGGTGTCAGGGACATGAGCCCATCTTCACCGAAGAAACTGAAGCTCGGGAGGCCGGGCGACGGGCCCCACGTGCCACCCCCCACCCCCTGCCCTGTCTGTGACCAGGTCCAGGACAGCAGCTTCTTCCCGCCCCAAAACTTTCCCCCAGCGCCAGGGGTGCGGAGTCCACCCTGCCAGGAGGAGGGCGCTGGCCAGAGGGGGGGGGGCAGCCCCACCTCGCTGCTGGCCCAGCGGTCCTGCCCCGGAGATAACGGACACAGCCGTCGCACGCACTTATCAAGTTGCTGGTGCGGGTGCTGCCTGCCAGCGGGCAAGACCCTCAGGCCCTCTGAGGTCTCTCACCCCCGGGAGGCGTGCAGGCGAGGGCTCCGGCCCTCCCAGGGGTGGTCCTGGCCTCACCCTGGACTGTCCCCCCGGAGTCGGCTCACAGCCTGAGCCTGGGTGGGGCCCACAGGCAGGGGACCCGCCTGTGTCCGCAGATGGAGTCCAAGCTTCCATTACCCTGGGCCCCATTGGCTGTTCTTTTCACGTGCCCGGCCGGCGGGGGTAGCCCCCGCCAGGTCCAGACAGGGGTCCAAGGGGGTTTGGGGAGCGAGGGTGAGACTCCAGTGTCCTGGGTCATCCGCCAGGTGAGAGGCGTCCTTCCCTCTGTTCTGAGAACTGCCCGTGCGGCTCCTGCCGGCCTCACCTCCTGGACACCTGTCCAGTGGCCTCCCCAAGGTCTACAGCACTAACGCCTCGGGCTGCTTTGGGCAGGCCTCGGGGGCCCTGGGCTTGGAGCCCCGGCCCCGTGCCTTCCCCACAGCCTGAACCTATTCCCTTTGTGCGTCTCGCACCACCACCACCCCTCCCCACCCTGGGGAGAACCCTTGCCCCAGTTGGGCAGGTGAGTCCAGGTGCAGGCAGGACGCCCAAGGCCCCACTGAGACTGCTTAAAGGCCTGTCCCCTCTCCCGACCCCCCCCCCAGTTGTGGCCCCCACCCTCAGGGGACATCCCCGCCCTGTGCAAAGACATCGCAAGTCCCTAGTGGTGCTCCTCCCCCAGGCCGTCCCCCACTGGGCCCCCCTCCACCTGCACAAAGGGCACTGAGTCTCCTCTCTTTTTCGTTAAAAAAAATACCAATCCCCCCTCCCCAGACTTTGTCTCTTAGGGCGGTTCTAGATGTACAGAGCTACCGCAAAGGCAGTACAGACTGCCACGCGCTCCACACGTGTCCCCCACTCACGTCCTAGGTCAGTGTCCATTGGTCCCCATCAGTGGACTGCCGTGGACAGTCCTGCTGCCAAAGCCCACGCTGTGCTCGGGTTCTGCACTCTCCCCCGAGGTCCCAGGGCCCCGCCCAGGGTCCCACAGGCACCTGCGTCTCCTGGGCTCCTCCGGGCTCTGGCAGTTCCTGACTTCCTGGTTTGGTGACTGACAGTCGAGGGTGCTGGCCAGGAGCTTTGGGGACTTGTATGGACTTGGTCTGGCAACCTTCCCAGGCGGCCAGGGCTGCCTCACTGCTGCCCAGGCTCCTCCCAGGGCCTGCCTGCCCCAAGGTGGTCTGCTGGGCAGACCCAGCTTTCCTGGGGACCCTGCGGGGGCCCATGGTGCTGTGGGACCCTCCCTCTCTGCCGCGGCTGGGGTCCTCTTCCCCAGCCCGTCGCCCCCTTGGCCGGCTACCAGCTGTCAGCCTGCTGCCTTCCTGGGCCCTTGGTCCATGGAAACCGAGAGCCTGAGGCCTGGAGAGCAGCACCTCCCCAGCTGCGGCTATTCAGCCTCTGCCCTGCGACAGCCATCCGGCCGCTCCCACCCCTGCTGCGTGAGGGACCCCCTGCATCATTTCTTGTGTCTGCCCGTTTCTCCCAGGAGTCACCAGACGTGAGCAGGTGGACATTTGAGAGGTGGCCGAGGGGCCCCATCCAACAGCCTCTCCTGGGCCCGACCGGGCCCTTCTCTCCCCAGACCCGAGTGCCAGGTGTGGACAGGGACGCTGCTTCTGGGGACATGCCTGCTGTACTGCGCCCGCGTCAGCGTGCCCGTCTGTGCCGCCGCCATGAGCCAGGACTTCGGCTGGAATAAGAAAGAGGCCGGTGTTGCTTCTTCTGGGGCTCCTGCCTGACTCAGGGGGCGGGGGGCCGCCTGGGGGACCGGTAATCCCCCCCCAGCTTTGGGCAGGCCTCGGGGGCCCTGGGCTTGGAGCCCCGGCCCCGTGCCTTCCCCACAGCCTGAACCTATTCCCTTTGTGCGTCTCGCACCACCACCACCCCTCCCCACCCTGGGGAGAACCCTTGCCCCAGTTGGGCAGGTGAGTCCAGGTGCAGGCAGGACGCCCAAGGCCCCACTGAGACTGCTTAAAGGCCTGTCCACTCTCCCGACCCCCCCCCAGTTGTGGCCCCCACCCTCAGGGGACATCCCCGCCCTGTGCAAAGACATCGCAAGTCCCTAGTGGTGCTCCTCCCCCAGGCCGTCCCCCACTGGGCCCCCCTCCACCTGCACAAAGGGCACTGAGTCTCCTCTCTTTTTCGTTAAAAAAAATACCAATCCCCCCTCCCCAGACTTTGTCTCTTAGGGCGGTTCTAGATGTACAGAGCTACCGCAAAGGCAGTACAGACTGCCACGCGCTCCACACGTGTCCCCCACTCACGTCCTAGGTCAGTGTCCATTGGTCCCCATCAGTGGACTGCCGTGGACAGTCCTGCTGCCAAAGCCCACGCTGTGCTCGGGTTCTGCACTCTCCCCCGAGGTCCCAGGGCCCCGCCCAGGGTCCCACAGGCACCTGCGTCTCCTGGGCTCCTCCGGGCTCTGGCAGTTCCTGACTTCCTGGTTTGGTGACTGACAGTCGAGGGTGCTGGCCAGGAGCTTTGGGGACTTGTATGGACTTGGTCTGGCAACCTTCCCAGGCGGCCAGGGCTGCCTCACTGCTGCCCAGGCTCCTCCCAGGGCCTGCCTGCCCCAAGGTGGTCTGCTGGGCAGACCCAGCTTTCCTGGGGACTCTGCGGGGGCCCATGGTGCTGTGGGACCCTCCCTCTCTGCCGCGGCTGGGGTCCTCTTCCCCAGCCCGTCGCCCCCTTGGCCGGCTACCAGCTGTCAGCCTGCTGCCTTCCTGGGCCCTTGGTCCATGGAAACCGAGAGCCTGAGGCCTGGAGAGCAGCACCTCCCCAGCTGCGGCTATTCAGCCTCTGCCCTGCGACAGCCATCCGGCCGCTCCCACCCCTGCTGCGTGAGGGACCCCCTGCATCATTTCTTGTGTCTGCCCGTTTCTCCCAGGAGTCACCAGACGTGAGCAGGTGGACATTTGAGAGGTGGCCGAGGGGCCCCATCCAACAGCCTCTCCTGGGCCCGACCGGGCCCTTCTCTCCCCAGACCCGAGTGCCAGGTGTGGACAGGGACGCTGCTTCTGGGGACATGCCTGCTGTACTGCGCCCGCGTCAGCGTGCCCGTCTGTGCCGCCGCCATGAGCCAGGACTTCGGCTGGAATAAGAAAGAGGCCGGTGTTGCTTCTTCTGGGGCTCCTGCCTGACTCAGGGGGCGGGGGGCCGCCTGGGGGACCGGTAATCCCCCCCCACCGTGTGCAGGGCCTGGGGCTCCTGCCTGACTCAGGGGGCGGGTGGCCGCCTGGGGGACCAGTAATCCCTCCCCGTGTGCAGGGCCTGGGGCTCCTGCCTGACTCAGGGGGCGGGTGGCCGCCTGGGGGACCGGTAATCCCTCCCCGTGTGCAGGGCCTGGGGAGATGGCTCCTAGGAAGGGAATGGGGGGAGGCCCCGCCCACAGCAAGACGGGGGCTGGGAGACCCGAGGGCTGCGCAGGGGTGGGCTGGGGCCCGTGGGGACAGAGGGACCAGGCTGTACCCTGCACGCTCAGCCTCGGCCTCCTCTGCAGAGGGGATGTGGCTGCAGTGCCCACCCCAGAGGGCAGCTCCAAGTGACGGGCGGTGCCGGCCCCCTCCCCGGGTTCCTCCACGGTAGGGTCTCCTGGTTCGGCCTGCAGCCCAGCCGCACAGCTCCCCGTCACTGCCCTCTCGTCCCCCGTGCAGGATCGGGGGTGAGAAGGTCATCCTGCTGTCGGCTTCCGCCTGGGGCTTCATCACCGCCGCCACGCCGCTGCTCTCCCGCCTCAGCAGTGCCCACCTGGCCTTCATGACCTTCTCTCGCATCCTCACGGGCTTGCTCCAAGGTAGGGGGGCTGCGGGGGGCTGGACCTCGGGCCCACACGCCACAGAGCAAGGGGAGCGTGTGCACGGGCGTGTGTTCAGGTGGGTGCTCATGGGCGTGCGCGTGTGTCCTCGTGTGTGCCCCTGCATGTGGTGTGCCTCACTTCAGAGCGGGTGCACCAGTGCTGTAGCACTGCTGCTGCTGAGGTCATGGGCTCTCCTCCCTGGCAGGCGGACAGCTCGGGCCGTCCCCGCTGGCGGGCTGCCGGCTCTTGGCTTCACTTCCCTGCACCGGGCTTTGTTTGTGCTTCGATGCCGTTGCGCCCAAGGCACTTTCCGTGTCTAGAGTCACTTCACAGTCTGGCTGGCACGTTTTAATGTCACGTGTCCTCCTCTGCCAAAACTTCCGCTCCAGGGATCCGGTGTCAGCCAGGTTGCCACACGGCACCGTCGGCTCCACCAGCCGCATGGTGGGCACGTGCCCAGTTTCTATGTGCTGCCAGTCGGAGGCCACACCCGCGCTGGCCGGGCCAGCAGGCTGAGGGGATGCCAGCTTTCCCAAGCCCCCCGCTCTCGTTCTTTGGGGATATTACACTTCTGGAGAGAGCCCCCCTCAAAGATCCCCAGTGGCCTGGGGGAGCTGGTGGCAGGGGCGCACACCCACCCTCCAGGGAGTGGGACGGCCTTCTGAGCTCCTGCCCTCCACCAGCATGGCATCTGACAGCATCCGTCCTCTGGACGTGACCCCTTCCTCACCACACCTCCCCACTTCCCAGAGCTCTGGTGGGGCGTGGGCCTCTAGCCCGTACCCCCAAGACCCCAGATGTATATCCTGGAATGGGCCTCTGCCTGTTTCCTGATCAGCCACACCGGGCCGGCCCACATGTGGTCCTGGTGGTCCAGGCAGTCCAGCGCCTGCGCTCCTTTGAATTCACCCCACGTGCTCCCCACATGGTGTGAGCAGGGGCCCGGGGCCCCAAAGGGAAGGCAGGGACCAAGTCCTGTCCCTATGTGCCCTGGCCTCTGAGCTTCCCCAGGTGCTTTTGGAGAAAAGCGCAGTGTAACGGGCAAGAGCTGCTTTCGCCAATGCGGTTTTTTTTTTAAACTAGATTTTAAAATAATTATAGCTTTACAGGAAGTTGCAGTGAAAGGTACAGGGAGGTCCCGAGCTCCCTCCCCCACCTCCCTGTGGTGGCATCTCACGTAGATACAGGGCAGCATCACATCCAGGACCTGGCAGTGCAGTTCCACGGGGCTGTTCAGGTCTCACCGACGTACACGCACCGTGTGTGTCAGTGTGTGTGCGTGTGCACTTGTCACTTGTCACCTGTGTGTGTGCTTCTGCATGTTGGTGCCAGGACTCTGGAGCCGTGTGGCTCTGGGAGCTGGCGTGACAGTGGAGGAGCGCCAGCTTGGGCCCAGAAGCCCCTCTGCAGCCGTCCTGGTGGCAGGACCTTGAGCGAACCCCCCGCTCCCCAAGCTGTCTCTTTAGCTGAGTGTTGGGAAAAGCCCAGCCCTGCTGATCCCTGGGGGTGACAGCGGGAGGAAGGAGACCCGGGCTTGAATAATCACCGAGGGCCCCGCGGAGCTTCCCTGTCTCACCCCTCTGCCGGCCACCCCGGCAGGGCCCACGGGCCAGCTCGGGACACAGCTCTGCGCGGGGCTCTGCCTTCTCTGCCGCCCCAGGGGTTTACTTCCCTGCGCTGACCAGCCTGCTGTCCCAGAAGGTGCGGGAGAGTGAGCGAGCCTTCACCTACAGCACCGTGGGGGCCGGCTCCCAGTTTGGGTAAGTCCCAGCCTTGGGGGGGGCCGAGCAAGGGGGTCGGTGTGGGGAGGCGAAGGGCGTGCACCTGGCAGAGCGCCTCGGTGCGTCTGGTGGGGACAGGCCACGTGCACATCTGGGACAGGGTGACGCAGGTCTGGTGACTCTGTGCTCTGCGAGGCACTTGCCACCCCCATCTCCGTGCATGCTCTGTCCCTCTCGGGCCAGCAGCAGGTGACCAGAGCTCTGGGGCTCTGGCACGTGGGCTGGGGTGTTAAGTTCCCTTCCATCTGTGCTGACAGAACTGGATGGGGTGCCCGTCCCGATGGGGGAGGTGGCCTGCGTTTGCCCCAGAGGGTACCCGTCACGGTCCAGACATGAAAGGTCCAGACCTGTAAGGTCCAGACCTGTGGCCCTCCCCACTGCACCCCCCAGAGCGCCAGACCCTCCGTGGGGCGACCGCACTGGGGCTGGAAGGACGTCTTGCTGTCCTATTGGGGCTTCACGACCCCCGGGCTCAGGGCCCTCACGTTACTGCTGCCGAGGTCCAGGCAGAATGCAGAGGGGTGAGGGGTACCTGCTGGGGGGCTGGGAGCGGCCCAGATAGAAACCCAGGGGGCCCAGTGACATGTGAATTTCAGAGAAGCAATACACGGACAGAAGAGTTTCATTGTTTATCTGAAATCCCGTCTCACTGGGTGACCTGGGCCTTCCGGGGAGGGAGTGGGGTGCAGGGGAGGTACAGGGAGAGACCGTGCCCACCCCCTCCCCGCAGATGGGGAAATGGAGGCTCAGAGTGGAAGGCATCCCTCCACTGGCCTTGGGGGAAAGCCTTTCTCCTTTAACTGTCTCCTGGCCAAGCCTCAGCAGGTGGGGGGTAGCCTCTGAACAGACAGGCCAGCCTGGGGGAGGGGTGGGCCTCGAGGGCATATTTGGGACAATAGCATTGGCAGGACCTGGGGAGGCAGCTGGGTTGGATGGTTGTTTTTGCATTTTGAAATCTTTTTGAAATTTCATCCTCTCTGATATGAGCAGCTGAAAACAGCGAGGAGGAGGTTTTATGTTTCAGCGTGTTCTTGTCACCGCTGTCTTCTTGTTGCCCTTTTCATTTTAAAAGGATCCACACACAACTGTAGGCCAACTGGGAGGCCTAGTAAGGAGATACTAGGGCAACACAGGACCCGTGTGCCACGTCACGGCTGCCATGTCCACGCTGGCCCCCGTGGCACCGGAAGTCCCCGGAAAGCTTGCATCTGTCTTAAAAAAATGCACAACATGAGGTTAAGTTTGATTTGGGGCAAAATGAGGGCTGCAGCCCGGGAGACAGCATTTCAGAGAAACTGCTCCCAGGAGGTAGGGGGAGGAGCCAGGATATAGAGGAGTTTTGTAACAAAAGGGCAGGTAATGGTCAAAACATTATTGTTAATTAAAGAAAACTCGATCTCTCAAGTTTAGGAATTTAGTGCTTTTCTGTGTCTGGGAAAATGCAAGAGTCTGGGCTCACTGAAATCATTCCTTTGATGTGCACCTCAGCTCTCTGGGGCCAGTGTCCTGTATTTTCACATCCTGAGTTTCCGCAGGGCTCACCGCAGGGAGTGGCTGCAGTCTGATGGCTGCTGGATGGCAGGTATTCTTTTCAGCCCTGAGTTTCCTCAGGGCTCACCGGCTCACGTTGGAGGGCTGCAATCCTTGATGAATGTGACATCCTTTGTTTGTTGATATGGCAGGAAATATTCCATTTATAAACATTCCATTTATCACATCCCTAGCAAGCTGCCTGGGGACCAGCCTTCCGGGCAGCTGCCTCACAGGGGATAGAAATGCTCTTTTCTAGGGACTCAGGTCACCTGGGGTAGGGGTCTCGGAGATGTCTCCGCACCCCAGTGAAGCGAGGGTCCCAGCCACACCCCTCCCTGTCGTTCCAGGACGCTGGTGACGGGGGCCGTAGGCTCCCTGCTCCTGGACTGGTACGGCTGGCCGAGCGTCTTCTATTTCTCGGGTGGGCTCACCCTGCTGTGGGTGTGTTACGTGTACAGGCGTCTGCTGGGTGAGAAAGGTACGTGCCGCTGCCCGGGAAGGGCGGGGGCCCTGGCGCCTTGTCCCCTCCAGCGAGCGGCCACTGAACCCCCAAGAGCAGGCCAGCTCGGGGGCCCCAGGATCCCCTAGGTAGAGCCTCACAGAAGATGCCCACTCCCTGAGTCTCAGCCGGCTACGGTCAAGTCTGGTGTGAGAGTCGCCGGGTGAGCGCAGACGTGCAGGGGCTGCCCAGCCGGCAGAGGCATATTGCAGGGGTAGAGGTGGCTCCTGGTGACAGGAGTGGGGCCTGGAGGGTTTGAGGACTCAGGGGACAGATGGCCAACACTACTGTCCACCCTCGAGGGCAGACGCTGCCAACCCCAGGCTCTGGCGGAGAGGACAGGATGGCCCCCAGGCACAGCCGGGGACCCATGAGCCGCCCCCAGCTTCTGGCCTGTGGGGGCAGAGCCGTCCACCCTCTTTGAATGGCTTTCACGTGGAGATGCCTTGCCCTTCAGATCTCATCCTGGCCTTGGGCGTCCTGGCGCAGGGCCTGCCGGTGTCCAGACACACCAAGGTGCCCTGGAGACAGCTCTTCCGAAAGCCTTCAGTCTGGTGAGCTGGGCTGCTGCAGGGATGGGGTTTGGGGCCCTGGGGACCTCGGCCACAGGGTGAGCGGCCCATGCAGGGGGGCGGCTCCACTCTGGGCTCCGCACCCTCAGGCCCCTGGCTGCCCTGGGTGTGGGGAGGGGGCTGGGGTGTGGACCCTGAGCCTGGCCCCCGCCCCCCCCAGGGCGGCCATCATCTCCCAGCTCTCGGCGGCCTGCTCCTTCTTCATCCTCCTCTCCTGGCTGCCGACCTTCTTTAAGGAGACCTTCCCCAGCTCCAAGGTGGGTTGGCCGCCCGGCAGCTCACAGGGTTGGGGGGCGCCGCGAAGCACACGCAGAGGGGCCCTGGGTTCCTTCCGCCGAGCTCTGGTGGCTCTGCCGCCTCCTGGCTCAGGGGCCGCACCTGGGTGCACACAGGAGAGGCCCAGCTGCTGCCCCGGCTGCCTGCCCGTCTGCAGACAGTCCTTTCTGGGGGCGGGGGCACGCAGGGGCTGTGATGTGGGCACAGATGTCACCTGCTGGTCAGCCTGGCTGACTGCACCCCAGCCGCCCGGCTACCCTCCCAATTCTGGTGACCAGGGCCCCCTGGCTGCACACTCTGGGCAGGGTGCGGCCCCCCAGCTCTGCCCCGCGGGGTGTGGGGAGCCATGAGGGAGGTTCTGCCTGCAGGGGTGATAGCACTTGAGGGCCCAGCGCTCAGTCAAGGTCGGGGATGAGTTAGGATCTCGGAGGCCCAGCCTGTGGGCAGAGAGCCTGGTGGGCAGTGGTGGGCGTGGATGACCGCCTGGGCTGTTCGTCCTTTCCCCGTGGTCGGGCACCTGCCCTGGCAGCCTCTGAGGCCCCTGTACCCTCCTTCCCTGCAGGGCTGGGTCTTCAACGTGGTGCCCTGGCTAGTGGCCATTCCTGCCAGTCTGTTCAGCGGGCTTCTCTCAGACCGTCTCATCAATCAGGGTGAGCCCTGGGGGAGGGGCCGGGCAGGGAGCCATGCCTGGGCTTTGCCTCACTCCGGGGGGCAGAGAGGCACCCCTCCTGGGGTGCTCCTGTAGCGATGGGAAGAGGCCACGCCCCCGAGGACCAGGCCGTGAGAGTGGGACCCCTGGCCCTTAGAGCCAGCCAGGTGGGCCCGTGGAGCCCGGCTCCCGGCCCGACTCTGCTGATGACTGCCTCCAACTTGTCACCCCCCAGCCTGTTTCCCCATGTGGGGACACTGGGACACAGTCACACTGCGACAGTGTAATTCCTCCACCTGGGGGCTGCACACAGCCCCCAAGCCTCTTCAGAGGAGGAAAGGGCACCTGGTGAGGTCAGAGGTCTCAGGCCTGAGACCCGAGTGCACACGGCCCGAGGATGACTGTCCCGCAGACACGCACGCTCCCCACGACCCTGCACTGCGCGTCCTTAAATGTCAGTCTTGTCCTAGTTACAGAAGAACCACCCACTCATTGTGGAAAAATTAGAAAATTGGTAGAAACACAAAGAAAGCACTTTGTAACCATAGAGTGGCCTTCCTCAGGTGCGTCTGCCAGGCCTCGGCCTTGGGAACCCTCTAAGTGCACAGGCTCATACACGTGTGCGCGCGGCTCACGGTGATGCAGAGGCTGCCCCACCTCCAGCCCAGCCCGGCCTTCCTCTCCCCGCTCCCTCCGCGCAGCCGTGAGGGTGGGACCCACTCTGGGTGCTGTCTGGGGTGGGACAGCACAGATGGGCCGACAGGATGTCTCCTGGTCTCCCCGTCTAGGTTACAGGACCATCACTGTGCGGAAGTTCATGCAGGTAGGAGGGTCGTGGGACGGCTCTCTCCCTCTGGACATCCCTGTTTTGTTCCTGGGGCCCCTGACCTAGAAGGGGACCGGTGTGGCACAGTGGCTGGAGGGCACTGTGGGTCAGTGCTTGGGACTGGCTTGGCTGACCTGAGACACTTCCCTGAGTTCTGGTGCCCATTTGGGGGCCTGGGTCAGCTCACGTCGAATGGGCTACGACCAGCAGGTCCAGATCATTCGTGCAGCCTCGTCCCAGTGGCCTCCAGGCAGGCCCCAGCCCGGGAGGGGTGCCCACCGACCCTCGTTCAGTGTGGCCCAGGCAGCCCAGGAAGGGGCGAGACTCCCACCCCGTCCCCACTCGTCTCTCCCGCAGGCGATGGGCCTCGGCCTGTCCAGCATTTTTGCCCTGTGTTTGGGCCACACCTCGAGCTTTTGTAAGTCTGTGGTCTTTGCATCAGCCTCCATCGGCCTCCAGACCTTCAACCACAGGTAGGGGCCAGGTTCCTCGTCCACCAGAGCCACCCACGCTGCCTTTGGGCTCCCGGGTCCCGGGCCCCTGGCTCGGGGCGCACATGGAGGGTGGGCGCATGGCAGGTCCCCACAAGTGAGCCACGAGGCGAGGGCAGTCAGGGTATCAAGCCGGTGAGGACCTGGGCCTTTTGGGAAAACAAAACGGGTGCTTGGGGAGGGGCTGGCAGAGCAGATGAGGGTCCCCAAGCAGCATCTTTTGAACCAAAGGTGGGGAGCGAGCCCATCGGATCCCACGTGTTGTTCTGCGGGCCTCCCAGCCTGCACAGCAGCTCAGTGTTTAGTCAGAAAACCTGCACTGACTTGTTTTGGGAATCGGCGCCTTGATGTCGTTTTCCAGATTATCGGGTAGCAAATGAGTGTGAGTCCGAGCAAACTCAGCTCCCTGTCTTGTTTCATCCTGGGAGTGGGTCCCATGCGTAACCGCCGAGCTGGGGCTGAGCTCCTGGCATGGCCAGCCTCCGGGATCCAGGTGATCGGAGGACCGACCGCCGGCTTGGCGGGTGGCGGCCGCCCTGTGGTCACTCACCCGCGTCCTTTCCTTTTCCCGCAGCGGCATTTCCGTTAATATCCAGGACCTGGCCCCGTCCTGTGCCGGCTTTCTGTTTGGTGAGGACCTCGGCCCCTTGTTGGACAGGAAGTGGCTGCCCCCCCCCGCTCACCCCCTCCCCGCTCCCAGGGCCCCCAGGTGGGTGCGCCATGGGAGGGTCACAGTGGGCCTCCGCTGACTGGTCCTCGTTCTCTCTGTCCTGTTTCAGGTGTGGCCAACACAGCTGGGGCTTTGGCAAGTGAGAAGTGGGCTGGGGTCCCCTGCCTGCGGGTTTCAAACCCAGAGTTCCCCGGGGCGCCGCCCCACGCCTGTGTCCTCCCACCTGCTCCGCTGCTTCGGCCCTCAGGGTGGGGCGTGGCACCCCTCGGGGGGTCCCCACAGTGTCAGAGCAGTGGCGGGGGGGGGAGCAGCCCAGACCCCAGAGCTGGCCGGGGGAGAGCACAGAGCCGTCTAACACGGTGCTCATGCTTCCAATGGCATGTAACCGTCCCCAGCCACGTGACCCGCAGATGTGAGTCAATCCCCGAGGTCCAGGGTCCCCAGAGGCCGAGTGCCTGGGTGACGGTGACGGGGCTCATGCCCTCCGGCCCCCCCCGTCCTCAGCTCCTCTCAAAGCTGTCCTCAAAGGGGCGGGATGGCCCATCACCCCGTCTGCTTGTCCCCTCTCGAGGGTGCAGGAGTCGTGGGCGTGTGCCTGGGTGGCTACCTCATCGAGACCACGGGCTCCTGGACGTCTGTGTTCAACCTGGTGGCAGCCATCAGCAGCCTCGGGCTATGCACCTTCCTGGTGTTCGGGAAGGCCCAGCGGGTGGACCTGAGCCCCGCCCATGAGGACCTCTAGCCGACCGACCCACTGTCCCCGAGGACCCAGCGCCATCAGCCTCGGGGACAGCGTTCAGCTTAGAGGCCCCTTGCTCCTGGCCCGCAGTGTGAGCAGAGGCGGGGGAGCCTCAGCCCAGCAGGAGGATGCGGTCCGGTTCCCCCGCCCTTGCGGGTAGCAGCCTCCTTCCGGGTTGGGGGGACCTCATGGTGGGTGGATTAGTGTCCAGTAGCAGCAGCTTCGTCACAGACACGGCCTGTTCCTCGGAGACCCGTACAAGCCCCACGTGGTCAGCCCGCCCGGGACCGTGTCACTGCAGGGCAGGGCGCCCCACTGGAGTCTCTCCCCAAAACCTGCCTGGCTCTGTTTCTCTGCTCTTGGGGCCGGATCATGCTCTGTGGTGGGCCGTCCTGTGCACTGCGGGGTGTTTAGCAGCATCCCTGGCCCCCACCCACTAGATGACCCCCCCCAGTCATGACAGCCAACCCTGTCTCCTGACATCACCAAGTGTCCCCGGGAGACCCGCCCCCTGGCTGAGGACCACAGCTCTAGAAGAAGGCCAGAGAGGGCTGTGGTGTTTCCGCTTCTCTAGGCACCCAGGCTGAGGCCCCCCAGTTCGATGGGTGGGCAGAAGTGGGGGCTCGAGGCCCTTGTGCATCGTTGGGGACCCTGCCCCCGGCGTCCCCTCCCATGGATTCCCAGGCACTGGCGATGGGTCCTGCTCCCCTGGTGCCTGCGGAGGGCGCGTGGGCACCCGCTCCTGGCCAGGACACGCCCCGGAACCAGTGAACCCACCGGTCCGCATTCTCTTTCTCCCTCCTTGTTTACAATAGAGGGGCCGGTCGTCTCGCGGATTAATAATAGATTTTGCAAGATGTATATGCAGAGAAAAGAAACTATGAGAATGTGGAAAAGCACACCAAAGCCTTATTTAAATGATGACTATTAAACTATTTAAAAAGAAGACCATAATGTTATTTAAGGCCCTTCTTATAAAAAGAATAAACGTGTGTTAAAGATTTATTTCACTAGTTCGAGGAAACCAGCAAAGTGTTTCAAACAGTCGAAGGAAAATGCCAAGAACAGACGTACTGATCCTCCAGGATGCTGACACACACGTGCAAATACAGCCGAGGTGGGGTTTCCTAGCTCCCGCTCTGGACAGACCCCGCCTGTGCGTCTGTGTCGGAGCTGCTTGGTGTAGCTGTCAGCTGTGTAGATTCTAGAATCAGACAACTCCTAATTTTCCATGTAAGCAAAGATTTCCTCCCGCAGCCCCCCCACTTGTGATCAGAAAGAATCTGAAAGAAAGATTCGCGATTACAAAGTGAGTCTGGCCTCTGTAGGTTTGGCCTGACTGTTTACGGAGATGCAGCCAGAATGTTAATTTGCCATAAAGGCCACACTGTTTGCTCGGCTGGGGATTTTCATGAGAAACCTCGGGTGGATTTCTAGGCTGTGCTGTCCCGAGCTGGGAGCCCTGCCCAGGAAACTCCCTGCGGCGGGGTGGTTTCCTCAGGACACAGGACACAGGTGTGTCCTCGTGCCCGTTTTTAAGGCAGCGCAGGGATGCTCTGCCTTCACCTTGTTGGGCAACTGTCACCGCCATCATCGTCATGACTTTCTCCTCCCAAACTGGAACTCTCCCCTCCCCCTCCCCCAGATCCTGGCGCCCACCATCTGCTTTCTGTCTCTATGAACTTGACCCTTCTAGGGACCTCAATGGAAACGTATCCTACAGCATTTGTCCTTTTGTGACTGACTCATTTCGCTAAGCGTGGTGTCCTCAGGGTTCGTCCGTGCTGTAGCGCGTGCTGGGATTTCCTTCCTTTGTAAGTCCGTGTAATACTTCATTGTATGGCTGGACCACGTGTTGTTCAGCTCTTCATCCATCGGTGGACACTGGGCTGCTTCCACCTCTCGGCCGCCGTGAATTCGCTGCTGTGAGCATGGATGTGAGAGTAACACCTTTCTTTCTAACCCACAGCAAACTGTAAACTCTTGGAGAGCGTGAGAGAGAAGGCCCTTCCCATGGGAACATAGCCGCCTGGGGTCTCAGTGCTCGAGCCCTGAAGGGATGCGGGACCCAGAAGGTGCTGGTGGGTCCTGCTCAGCAGGGGGTCCTAGGGCATACGTGTAAACTGGGATCCCCGGCCTCCTGGAATCCGAGTCTGGTCACGCTTCTGTCAGCGCCTGGCAGAATAGGGGAGGGAGAAGCCAGGATGTGGGGGCCCTGGGCCTGCTGTGCAGTAGCTGGGCCCAGCCTCCTCCCGTCACTGCCGTCCCTAGTGCTCAGTGTCACCTTGGAGCTGGGTGCGGCCCCTCAACCCTTCCCAATGCCAATGTTGGGCCCTGGGTCAGGCTCCGAGGATTCCAGGTGAAAATGTTTGTTGGCGGGGAGGGCAGTGTTAGCACAGATGGGTGGGAGGACGGCCGGGCCCCGCTGTGTGTTATCTGGTGCAGCCAGGCTCAGACACGTCCCCAGCCCGGGTGGCCCTGGCAGGATCCCAGGGCCGGCACCAACCCTGAGTGCAGTAGGGGGAGAGCCAGTCCGGAGTCTGTAGGGTCACCAAAGCCCAGACACTCAACCTGCTGTACCTTCCCTCTTGACAGGAGGGGCTCTGGCCGCGCGGGGCCGTGAGCGTGCACTTGTGCACGGCGTGTGTGCAATAGCGCATGCGTGTGTGTATGCCTGTGCCTGCCCGGCCCACAGCCAGGAGGCGCCTCGGGAGGGCCAGGCTGCTGTCATCCTGCAGCTGGCTGACAGAGGGCGCCGTCTGACAGGGCTTTTCCCCGGCCCCAGAGCAGCCGACCTGACTCTTCCCTAGGGCGCCAGGTGGGAGCCGAGGGGTCCAGCTGGCCACCCTGTGCCGTGTAGGCCGGTGCTCTTGCCCCTCAGCTCTGTAGGAAGGGACGGGTTGGAAGGACATTACAGGCGCAGGGAGGCTTGAGGCTGGACCCCGAGGCGGGAGGGGGCCCGAGGATCGGCAGGACCTGGGGGGTGCGCATATGGGAGCGGGGACCCTCTCCCACCACCCCTCCCCCAGTCTGGGTCCCCACTGTGGGTCCCTCCCGCTGGCTGCTGGGTCTGCACACACGGGGTTACGGCGTCCACTTCTTCTTTCTTTTTATACATTTATTTATTTATTTATTTTTGGCTGCGTTGGGTCTTTGTTGCTGCGCACGGGCTTTTCTCTAGTTGTGCCGAGCGGGGGCTGCTCTTCGTTGCGGTGCACGGGCTTCTCATTGCAGTGGCTTCTCTCTCTCTCTTTTTTTTTTTTAAATTATTTATTTATTTTTGGCTGCGTTGGTTCCTTCGTTGCTGCGTGCGAGCTTTCTCTAGTTGTGGTGAGTGGGGGCTACTCTTCGTTGCAGTGCGTGGGTTTCTCATTGTGGTGTCTTCTCTTGTTGCAGAGCATGGGCTCTAGGCTCCCGGGCTTCTGGAGTGTGGCTTGCGGGCTCTAGAGCGCAGCCTCAGTAGTTGTGGCGCACGGGCTTAATTGCTCTGCGGCATGTGGGATCTTCCTGGACCAGGCCTCGAACCCATGTCTCCTGTGTTGGCAGGCAGATCCTTAATCACTGCGCCACCAGGGAAGCCCGCGGTGGCTTCTCTTGTTGCGGAGCACGGGATCTAGGTGCACAGGCTCAGTAGTTGTGGCGCACGGGCTTAGTTGCTCCGCGGCATGTGGGATCTTCGCGGAGCACGGCTCGAACCCGTGTCCCCTGCATTGGCAGGCGGATTCCCAACCACTGCGTCACCAGGGAAGGTCTGTGTCCTCTTCTAACAAGAAGACAGACAGCAGCAGGACTTCGTGGTTGGAGGTCCTCGGGGGGCCGTCCCCCGGTCCTCTCCCCAGGCCACAGGTGTCCTCAGGGGCAGGGCTGTCCCCCCACCTGGGACTGCAGGAGTTTGGCGTCAGGACCGGCTGGGGTCCCTCTGGGGCCCAGGATGTGCCAGTCCAGGCTCCCCCCGATGTCCTGTCCCCAGAACCCACCAGCCCCACACAGGCCTCGCCAGGCTCCCTCCCCCATCTCCCGCTCTCAGGCGGGGTGTCCCCTCCTGGTCACCATAAGTGACACTTTTCTGTCATTTCTTTAAAACAGGATCTTTAATGGCCAGTTAATATCTGTAATTAGCATGTTAATTAGCCCCACCTCTCTGGGCTCTCCCCACCCCTATTTCTGGCTTTGTCCTTCAGCTGTAGGACAAGGCCCTGGGGGTCCCCACTTGCCCCTGGGGGACCCCTGCTTGCCTTTCCTGGGCGGGACGTGCAGGGGCCATCCTGGGCGTTTGGGGCGCCCCCGAGGCTGCGGGCCGTGTTCTCTCCAGTGTACGGTGGAGCCTGCCGTTCGTTCCGTCCGCTGGTTCCTGCAGAAGGAGCAGGGCTGCACGTAGGAACACACTTTTGATGGGCATTTGCTTTATCATGTTTAATTGAACACCGTTGAAGCCGTGGCATGAATATTCAGCGAGGTGGCTGGAAGCCTCATCTGATCGCGGACGCGCCCCAGCACGGCGCCTTCCAAAGGGGGAGCGAGGTAGGGAAGCTATTAATTGAAATAGCTTCATTAATTAGTAATTAACAGCAGAGAAATGACTGTGTAACACGTCGTATTTCAGTAGATGCCCTTCTTGTGTTATGGGACCTGTAATTAAAGGACGGGGCATTTTAATTACAGGCAAGCTTGGCCCTTTGAACTTTGGAATACAAAAGAGGGCCCCAGCTTTCAAGGAAGCTGGCGGGGAGGCTGGTGCAGGTGCAGGGACCGTGTGCCTGGCTGCCCCTCGCTCCTCGGGCGCGTGGGCTCTGGCTTCTCCTCCCTGCACCTGGAGGACGTGGCCCTATGGGTTCTCCTGGGGTCACAGGCCGGTGCAGGGGAGCGGTGGGGCAGGAGGGAGGACCCAGAGGGTGATGCCCGCGCTGCCCTGCTGGCCGCGTCCTGTGAGGAGGGGCTGAGAGCAGTGCCCTGAGGCCAGACGGAAGACCCCCGGGCCAGCTGCGCCCGCCCGCCCCCCACTGGGCTCCCGTCTCTGCTCTGTCCTGATGGACAGCAAGAAGTCCAGGGACAGTGCTCATGGAGAGCACCCGCATGGTGGGGAAGGATGCGCCTAGCGCCCTGAGTGCATGGTGGTCCCCTCCTCTCACGTGGACACACTGAGCCCAGCGGGAAGGCCCCCGAGCCCACCCGAAGCCGCACTGCTTCTCATGGGCACTGCAGGGTGCCCTCCCTGCCACTCCTGCCTCCTGCTGGATGTGAAGCAACAGCTGTGTCAGCTCCACGTCTCTTTCCAGCTCATGCTCTCTGTCTCTGTCTCCCTCTGTCTCTGTCTCTCTCTATCTCTGTCTCTCTTCGTTGTCTCTGTCTCTATCTCTGTTTCTGTCTTTCTGTC